CCACTATTTTAACATAATATTATGGATAGAGTTTAATTCAGTGTTTGCAAGATTCATTTAACTATTTTTAAATTAATGTCTATATCGCCATGAAGTAATTAGGATTTTCCTGCCTGGGATCTTCCTATTGGTCAAAATCAAAATGGCCGACGTGGATGTGGGCGGGGTTGGATATCCATCCTTGACCATTTCCAAGAGTGATTATTATTTTTTTACTTTTGGCCTTTCCACTCCCAGCGAGTGCGCCTTTATTTAAATTAAAGTTTTTGCATAAATATCTCTGCATCGAGTCCCATTTCTGACTAAAAATACAGCGATTAGGATTTTCTTGCCTGGGATCTTCCTATTGGTGACCTAATCAAAATGGCCGACTTGGATGTGGGGGAGTTGGATATCCATTCTTGGCTTCCTGCAGTCTTTCATTTCCTGTTTTATTTTGATGGTAACCATCTTCTTGTTTTAAGGTCTTTTACACTTCCCTGTGTGTCATATGTCTGCTTTATGTTTTTACATTTATACCCTTCGGCCTCCTGTTCCAAAGTGATTATTATTTGACACTATTCATAGCTTTTTCTTCCTCCCTTTAGAAAAATATTATTATTTTTTACTTTTGGCCTTTCCACTCCCAGTTTCCCTTCATTTAAATGAAAGTTTTTGCATAAATATCTCTGCATCGAGTCCCATTTCTGACTAAAAATACAGCGATTAAATGTCGTTGCCTGGGATCTTCCTATTGGTGACCGAATCAAAATGGCCGACTTGGATGTGGAGGAGTTGGATCTGTTCTGACCTGAGCTTTTATTATTCTATTATCTAACAGGGAACCCCCCGCCTGGGCAGGAAAACGTCTCCCAGTCCTCCCCGCAAGGTAAAGCTCGACTAAGCCCCCCCCCCCTTCCCCCCCCCCCCCCCAGATGCTGCGCTGCTATTGGTTCTCCATCAACGTCCTCCTCTCCACATTGGACGAGGAACATGATCCCAACCGATCGATGAGATTTCTGGAAAAATGTCCTGTTTATTTTTCTTTATTATAGTTATTGTTATTATTGTTTTATTTTTATTTTTTTATGTGGATATTCGCCTCCACGTTGAGCCCAAAGTGCCCT